AAAAAGAGTGTGTACTTTTCTATTCTGGAGGACAGCAGGGTTTTTTTTGTAAATAAGCTAAAACCTTGGAGTATTTTTCACTAATCTCACCTTAGTCCTTCCAGCTCCTTTGCTTCTTCATCAGTGCAGCCTTGATTACAGCCTGTAAAGGCCAACATATCCATTTCGTACCGAAGATGAAGGACTAGGAATTTACCCTTCTTCTGTCTCATAATTTTCACGATTTTCTTCCCCATCTTCTCTATTGAAGCCCTAAACTTCAGGGCCTCGTAACTCGCCTTGCAACGAACCTTTTGAACTTCCAGAGGACCGTTATTTTCCAACCTAGAGTCGGTTTTCTGAAAATGCAGAATCTTGTGGTTCTTGAGACTTCCATCAAGAACCTACACAAAATGGAAAATTTTAAAATGTTCTGGGAAAGTTTTGTAATTAGACTAAACTTTAGAGATGTTTTTTGGAATTTTGAAAAGTTGAAGAACAAACCTTGTCTGTGTAGTATGAAATGTTGGACCAGCTAATGGGTTGCATGGAAATATGTCTGTTCGTGTTCACCTCTCTCTGCATATCTGGTGGAAGTTGTTTTACAATCCTAACCTCATCTCTCAATGAGTTGATGAAATGATCGACGTCGAATATATCCTCGAATTGACTGCATGAAACGAAAATTTGCGATTTTTTTTTATTATTATTAAAAGCTTCCTGCTTTTTACATGTTTAAATTTTAATTATCATTTGGGGAATTTTTGTATTTTCTCCATAATTGTGTTTACCTTTGATCTTTCCAGAAAGATTTGGTATCCAACTGAGGAACCACAAGAGTGGCATTCATGTATCTTGCAATGGCTACCATGTCACATATCTGCATAAAATGTTAAAACACAATCATATTTTTTCAACAAATATATATATTTTTCAATTAAAATATCACACTAAAAACAACATAAGATAAAAGTATGTCATTTCTCATATTTATATGTACTTTCAAACTAAACTACCATCCTAAAGAACATTATAAAATAAAAGTATGACATTTCATAGTATAATTATGTATTTTATTTTTTTTTTTTAAAAAAAAAGGACAGATTGAGCTACCTAACGGTTAGGTCGTCTCACACAAAATTTTGGAAACTACCAAAGCATTTGCATCCATGGCCGGTTAGTAAAGCAAACAGTCAAACAGACAATTATGTACGTCATCATATATATTTTTCATGCCACAAATAAGTTGAAGAATACTATGTATTTCAAAAAACTTATGGGAGAAGTGTAAAATATTGAACAACATTAGTAGAAAAATGGTCAAAAATAAATAAATAAATAAATAACATACTCCAGAGCGCATTTGATTGAGTCCTCCATTGGATGATACAATTAAATATCCATTGCTCTCATATTCTCCTGCAACCAAGTTCTTATAAAATTTAGACACTTAAAAAAAATTAATATTTGTAATAATTAAATTGTAATTTATTTTCTTAAAAACATAATGGTGTCCGATGAGTTTGGCACTCACTCGCCAACGCCGGCTGCCAAGCCTTGGACAAGTGCATCACCTGAATTGTTAATGTCCAAATCAAGGCCACTGCCATGGCTGCCCGTGCCACATATTCACAAAGACGTGTTTTTCGAGTTCGAACAGCTACTCGGTTTCTTATCAGCTTCTCCTGAGATTTAATATTTCTAAGTATTTTCAACTCATCCATATTAAGACAGGAGAAAATAAGATGTGTAATTAAGTGCTAATCATGTTGACCGTGAGAATGAGAAGAAGAGTCTG